TTGTGCTTGCAACTGCTGCATTATCTCAAAAGTCTTGACTATCAGCTAAACGTTTCAAATATTTGGACTTCTAATGATCTTGGACATGGAAAAAATCTTTATTTTTTATTTTGCTTTTCTTATTTTTATGATTATGAGTATTATGATTATGATTATTCTTAATATGATGATTGATGCTTATTATGGTTTTTATGATTATGATTATGATGAAGATGATTGTTATGATGATTATTAGTACCAGGGGCGGATCTAGGATTTTCTCGAGGGGGGGGGGGCGGATTTTCAAAAAATTTTCCAAAATTTTGACGACCTTTTTTTTTTTTTTAGGTCGACCAAATTGATTTTTATTTTTCGCGCTCTCCTAAAGAGCACTGTTTTGCCCTTATTTTGGCAAAAATTTTCTGCGCCGCAGGCAATTTTTTTTGAAAAAACAGTCAAAAAAGCCGTTTTTGGGCACTTTTTGAAAAATTTTGACAAAAAAAATGCGTTTTTTTGGCGCGCGCTCCCCCTCAAAAATAGCATTTATTGGCGCCGAAGGCGCCTTTAGAAAAATTTTAGGGTCGGTCGGCCAAAAATGGATTTCTGAAAAAGTATCAAAGGGGGGACCCTTTGGGTCGGCAGGGGGTCAAATCCCTGAGGGGAGGGCGTCCGCCCCCCCCGCCCCCCCCCCTAAATCCGCCCCTGATTAGTACTATTGTTCAAAGGCAGAAAAAAAATGCAATTGCCATATTGTTGAGAACGCAAACAAACATTTTCTTTTTGTGATAAGCTAAAAAAAATTGATAAAACTTACTTCAAAAAGTATTTAAAAAAGAATATCTGACTCAATTGTTCTAAATTATATCCGCAACTGCAGCAATTAAATTTTTTTGAGGTTTCATCATTAAACTGGAAGTCAGCTCTAACGCTGATTAATTAGCGGTTTTAAAAAACCATAATTACTTTTTGTTTTACGATGTTGTTGTTCTGGTTCTATGAATATTACAAGTCGGTTTCTTCAGCCTCCGGTAAGCTGCATATAGACAAAGAGCCCTCGATTTCTCTCTTCACTTCCGAGTAGGGTGGGGGAGATGTCTCGCCGCCAGTGGCCTCTTTACTTGTCGGCGAAGAGCTCTCCTCGGAAACCAAATCATCTGAAAAGGAGACTCGTTTTGTCCTTCTCGGCTTCGGGAACTCGGCAAGTCGCATAGTCGAGGTTTCGGAGCCAGTATACGAGTGATGGCAAGAGTTTTTTAGGTGAGGTTTCGGAGCTGAGTTGTGAAATGATATCTGTTTTGATTCATGCTTAAATTGGGAAGTTCTTTCCGGACACTTCACAGTCAAGATTGGGCGAGTTGAGCAAATCTTTTTTTGTTTAATTGAAGTACCGATTCAATATAATTAGAACTCATAGTATTGTTCAGTTAAAATGATAAACTTAACCAAGTTTAGCAAAGTTGACCGAGGTCGGAACATTCTGCCCTTTTTGCACAGCAACCTTTATTCTGCTTTTCTTCAACCTTTTTTGCACAGCAACCTTTATTTTGATAATAAAAATCTAGCTGGTATTGATCCATTCAAAATGATTTGTGTTGATTTGAAGTGATTGAAAAACAAAAAAAAAAACAAGAAATTAAAGGGTGAATATATATCATTTCACAACCTAGATTTGAGTTTGGACTGTAGGTCTTGGTGGTACTTCGGATGCTTGGTTTGTTGGGGGAGCGGGAGGGGGAGGGGAGGTCGGATGTGAAAACTGTGATTGTGGATGAACAGGAGGCCGCCAGAGACTCATTCGAGTGGGGGTACGAGTGTGGATTCAGGATGACGTCACGATAGCTCGGAGGCTTTCCAGCCTGAAAATAATCAAAAGGTTCAATATGAGTCGATGGACGATATGAAGACGCTTGTATAGGTCTTGGTGAGTTTTTGTTTTCTTTTCAGGAAAAAGCCTTAAACATTGTTCATGCTCACGTATGATTTTTTTGAGGTTTAATTTTTGATTTCTTTTAAGGTCCAGTTCTTTTTTTTTAAAGAAAAGAAGCAAACTCCGCTGCTTGAGTTGATTTATCAAAAATATGTCAAACATGTCAATCCAGGGGAGGGCGACCTTTCAAAAATTTTGTCTACCTTTTTTTGGTCGACCAAATTGATTGATTTTCCGAGCGCTCCCAGAACACTATAAAAAACCTAATTTGACAAAAAAAAAATCCGCCGCAACCAAATTGTTCAAAAAATCAGATGAAAAAACCGTTTTTCAGCACTTTCTGGGAAATTTTGACCATAAAATTGTGTTTTTTTTTGCGCGCGCGTTCTCTTTCAAAATTAGAATATATTGGCGCCAAAGGTGAGGTGGTTGAATCTCCGAGGGGAGGAGGTAGGGGTCGTCCGAAACCCTGCATCACCTTCATCCGCTCCTGTGCCAATCATTAACTGTTCTTAAAATTAAAAGAATTTTAAGGCCATATAATTTAGGAAAGTTGACTACTTAGGAAAGTTGACATTTTAGAAAGTTGTTTTTTTTCCGAAAAAACGAGCGCGATTTTTTCTGTTTTCTTGCATTAATTGAGCCTTTTCCCTCTGTCTGTTTTCAAGAGTTGCCGTACTGAGACCCGCATCAAAAACTACTGACAAAACACCCAACTCGCAATGTTCAACTATTAAGGTAACTCTTAAGAAAATCAAACGAATGATCGAATCTCTTGAGCTACAACCTAAACTATCACTGATCGCATTGTGTGTAATTGCAACTTACCAACACCGCGTTTCAAATTACCTTTCATATTTTGCCAGTTAACGCTTTCCTTAAATTTAGCGAGTTTACTTTTGTTGCGAGTTGTCTTTCATTGAGAGTTTTTAAGGTAACAAAGGTTGTGTTCGGTCTCATCAAGAATGCAACAACAGCCTCCCAAAAACTACCTAAGCGTTTATTTTGGCTAAGCAGTGCTAATTCGCAGCTTCAGCATCTGTGTGTAAAGTATTTTTTGATTTTTAGAAATTTATCAAGGTCTCTTTTAGAGTAACGTGCTCTTGGAAGACACAAAAAAATTAAATTTTAACTCGTAAACTTTGTTTTCTTGCAAAATTTGTCATTCTGGTTATTCACAATCTTTTTTTTTGTCATTTCAGACTCTAACTAATTCAAACAAGCCTTGTCCTCCAAATTTTATTGCTCAAACCAAAACCCAAATGGTGCTATATAGTACATATTTCCTCAAACTCATTAGTTTCTTTTGCCAATAATAACCAACAGTTTATTGGCGTTGCTTCAGGCATACAAGTTTTTAGTTTTTTGTAAATTCTTCAAAAATTTGGTTTAGTTTTGACAAATAAACTTTGCCTGACTCGACCATGTTGACACCATTTGCAAAGGTTTTTATCTCAGAAGATTTGTTCAACGAAACATTTTTATGAACCATATACGACAAGGCAACAAAAATTGGAACCTGTGGAAGGCCATAATTTATCGTTTTTCAAAACAAAGCTCAAAAAGTTCGAAAAAGGTTCAGAACTTTTTAGTCTCTTAATTGAAATATCAAAATAAAATTTGTCAGAAGATTTAAAAATCTATAAAAATATTGCCAAAAAAAACGATTTTTTGGATCTACTTAACAATATACCCCCTTTTCTTGAAGGGGGGGGGGGGGGGAGATTGTTAAGTGGATTACATGCAGCGACTTTTCGACCAATCAGAATGCAGCAAAATTTGAATTTACATGAGACGCTCTAATGCGAATTTATTGTTTATATTTACAGGGGTGGAGATTCTTTAGTTGATACAATTGGGGGGGGGGGATTATTAAGTAGATTCCAAATTTTAAGCAATTTTCTCAAATTGTTGGAGATTCAACCCTACTAGAACTTTGTTGGGCTGTATAAAAAGCTTCTTGTGATATAATTTTCTTATTAACTAACAAAGTAGTTTCAGCGTAATTCTTGATTAATTGAACAAAGCCAATATGACCAATTTTTGGGGTAAAAAATTGGTTGAGAGTTTCGGAATTATAATTTTATAATTTTATATCTGACGAAATTCTAAGCAATTTTGTTCAGTTCATTTTTTGTCCAATCTCAACCCAAATTGAGAAAAACGTGTTTGAAAATTGAAGTTTTGTTCATTTTGTCCGGATAATTTGCCCAATGAAATTTGCCCACTGTACCTTGTCGGATAAAGCTGCCCAATGAAAGGTTTTATTGAAAGTCGCGAAAATAAGAGCTGCTGAGAATCTAATATTAAAAACATTCGAAACTTTTTCAAGAGTTTTTCCAGTCCAATACACTGCTGATTTAAATTACACGGACAAAATGATTAAACTTGAAAACTTTTCAAATGAGTTTCTCTTAGACAAAAACTGATCAGGGCAAATTTCGCTGAGAGTTTTGGCAGAGTTAACATGTTGCAATTTTTCTAAGCAAAAAACGGGCTCAAACTTTATCCTAAAAACGAGTTTTTTTATATAGACCAAAAAAGTTTAAAGGGAGTCAATTTCGTCTAGTTAATTTTATTTTCGTTTGGTTCCCAAAAAAAAGTTTTTCTAAGCTAAATTAAATACCTCTTAAAATTTGTTGAAGTAGATAAAAAGCTCACTGTTTTATGATAAAATTTCTTCGTTTTGTCCAGATCATTTGAATCAGCAATCTAGTACCAGGAAATTGGTCCAAACCTTTTACATCTAATTTGCTCGCTGAGTCATCATTACTCGTTTTTCCAGTTTCCCTTTTTTCCGTTTTCAGCTGTTCGAAGTTTTCGGCACGCTTTGTCAAAAAAGTCTCAGTCAGAGATACTTTTGGCAAATGTCGTTTTCTGTGTTATAGGGATGCTCGAAAAAGAGGTTGACATCCATAAACAGCGAATTAATTTTTCAACATTGTGTTCTTTTCCCATTTTCCCCAGTCTGTTAACCAAAACAAATAAGCATCTCAGTAGTTTTTCTTATTATAGGGCTTTAAATGGGGCAGAGACTAGGGTGGACCGAGAAGGAGCTATAAAGGCAAAAATTACTTTAAAAAATTAGCTATCATTACTTTAAATGGTTTGTTATCATGGGCAATAGTTTTCTCTGTGTCGGGGGTACTAGTATCGACAAAGCTTTAAGAAGTACTCCCTTCTTGTACTCCCTTCTGTAGTTGTATGCCTTGAATCCGAATGTGAACATGAGGAAGACTAGACAGGCCATCAGACTACATGCAAACACAGTCACCACTATCTGCAGCTTACTCTCGAAATCACCCACGTCTACAACAAAAGAAAATTTCATCACGTGCTACTTGACATCTGCATTCTTTTTTTCACAATCTGGTCGACATAAAATAACAACTTGGTTAAACGTACATTCTGCTACCAGCTGAAATTATCATAATAAGTTATAAATCAACAGTTACACAGGCAAGTTACCATTACAACTGAGTACTATCAGGAAAAATTCATTACTACTACTAGATATAAAAACAAAATGGAGAAGTGTGCATTTTTTATTCACTTTCTGAAACTTAACCAATTATCGCTTGGTCGCAGCTTTAAAAAGAGACTGCAGACAAAAAAAAACCGGAACTTTCAATTAAAAAGACATTCAGTCTCGACAAATAAATCCGAAACATTGGGAATTTTTTTGACAAGATTTTTTAACTAAAAAAAATCTCATACTTGCTTTGATTTTCATTACATCAATTAAATGCATTTCTAAGAAACTCATCTTGGACTATGCAAAAAAGTTTGTACGCTGATTTTTTCTCTTACATTTAACACAATTTCATTTACTTTTTTTTAAAATTACATAAAAATTGAAACTGCATAAATTGAATTGTGTAGTTAAAAAATTGCGTGTCGCTGTTCAATTTTACGGGATTTATTCATTAATTTTGAATGAAAATTTCTTCCAAGTAAAAACTTTTTCCAAGTTGTGCAAAACTTTAATAGTGTAGAGAATTTATAACTGAAAGAGCACCAACGTGGAAAAGCGCTGAAGGTAACTCATCCTTCTGAAGCAGGGATTTTTCTGTTAAGTACTGTTTTATCAAGACATAATTTGTTACCTATGTAACGACTAATCCAGTAGAAGAAGAAAGATTGTAGATTTAAAGAAAAAAATTGCAAACTCTTTTAGATCATTTTTCTTGCGTCTTAATAACCTATTTTCAAGAAAAAAAAATCTTTCATTTACTAGTTTAGTTCTATTCAAGCATCAGAATTTTCTTTCGGTGTTTGCTTTATGATTCAATTGATGCCTTATTGCCCCAAAAATTTGTTGACGAAGATTTAAACAATCCAAAAAATATCTCTGACTTTATGCATTAGGTTTTCCATCGACCCTTTAGACTCAACTAAAGTTTCTTTTTTGACATTCTTGATCAATAGCTTAGAGAAAAACTTAGTGTTCCTGTTGTCACAGAGATTAGTTTTTTGTTATTTCGGGCTAGTTTTTTTGGATGTTAGTATTTTTGTTCTCCTATATATAATTTGAAACAAAATTGTTCATGTTTTCGTTTGCATGTTCTCTTCCTATTACTTTAGAGATTATTTTGATGCTCAAATACGCGTAATTCCTTGATTGAACAGATTCTTTGACACTTTTATTGCACTTACCTCTTGTGTTTGCTTCTGACTCAAAAAAAAACATTTCGAAATGAAAAAAATTGTTGTATCTGCAGAATTTTAGATCATTTTAATTGCCAACACCGTATATTAAGAAAACGTACTGAAATAATGGTTGCCTAAACTGCTTGCAAGTGTTAATGAGAGCATATGAGCTGAAGAGTTGTCGAAATTTAGATAAAAAACGGAAATTAATTGACTGCATTCTTCAAATTTTTGTTCAATATGTTCGTTGAAGTTAGTTCAACGAACATATTGAACAAAAATTTGAAAAATGCAGTCAATTAATTTCAATTTCCGTTTTTTATCTAAATTTCGACGACTCTTCAGCTCATATGCTCTCATTAACACTTGCAAGCAGTTTAGCCCCAAGTTATTAACAACAATTTTTAAATCTGTCGTTTTTTGATTCCAGTTAAACTTCAGCGTTTTGTATAAATTAGTGTTCATTGTTTGGGTTTTTTCTTTTGTTTGTTGTATGTTTGACTTCGGAAGTTTTCTTATGTTTTTCGAAAACATAATGGTCATTGGCATAAAGAATAGATTCAACTTGCTGTGGTTTGTGGAAAATCATTGATAACATTTAAAAAAAGCAAAGTGTCCAAAAAAAATTTAATTGAACTCAAACAATCTTGCTCTCTTTTTTGCTTAAAAACTGTTTCAAAAAATAAGGGGGACGCTTTTCAGCTCGTAAATTTCACTATTTTGAATTAGAACATTATGATCAATAGTATCGAAAGCGGCAGACGAACTAAAACGTGCACTCTGGTAGTTTATTCACTTTTTTTGCTTTTTTTAGGTCGCATCTTTTGAAATTTTTACATTAGCATCAAAAGATGAGAGTTTGTTTGTTATTCAATCGTCTTAAAACTTGAAAATTTCAGTTTATTAAAAGTTTTGATTTTTTTTTCTAAAACATTTTCTTTAACATGAACACAAAAAAATAGACCTATCACTACAAGAAAGTAATTTGTTTGTTTCGTTGACAAACGAGGCTATTTTTGCTATTTCCAGACAACTGGGGTTAACTGCTTTGTTAAGTATCTGATTAAAAAAATTGGTCCAATTAGCTGTTACAATAATTAAAAACTTTGATCAGTTAACTTGACATAACCATGACAATAATAGATTTAGTAAGTCAAATGCTTCCTTATGTCATAATTTTTCCATTTATTAATTAGAGACAGAAGGAGAGATTCAGTTTTCCGAGTTTTCTTAGAAAATTCACTCTTTTTTCCGATTTAATTTGACAACCATAGAACAGTTTTTACAAAACACTATGTCATTTTTCAAGCCATAAGACAACTGTTCCACCAAACTGTTTTTTCTTATTCATTTACCATCTTTCACGCAGTCAGAAAAAATCTAAAGTTTTTTATATAGATATATATTTTTTTAGAAAATCAATTGTTTTTCCGATAACGTTTTTGAATGAAGCAGTTCTTGCTTAGCTGTTAAAGTATCTTCAATGTGACAACTTTTGAAAATAGCTTTTTTGATTTTATTCAAGATCCAGCTTTTTATAAATTTATCTTACGTTTTGACGACACTAACGTTGCGTCCACAGTGTTTTGTACGTGCTGCTGCAGAAACGCAACATTTTCATTGGTACCAAGGTCACTACTTTGAATTAATTTTGAACTGTTTTTTCTTGGAAATGCGGTTGCGTTGTACTTTCGTCTGCAGTTTTTTCTTTCGTCTCCAGTTTTTCATATTTTCTACAGGAAAAAAAAGAATTCACATGTTCTATTAGGTCACTATTGAAGTCAACTTCACACTCAAAATTATTTGTGGCTGCGTCTTCATTAGTTTTATTGGTGCCTTTAAGCATTGCAAATGCCAAGTCTTGGGTTATTCGAAAGTTCTGTGTGTATCGTGTGATTCTCATCCGTTCTGATTTGAAGATAAAACCAAACAGTACAATTTTTTTTATTTTTTACCGTAGTATTTTTTGTCGCAACTGATACATCTAAATGAGCCACTTATTGTATGTTTACCATTAAAGTCTTTTTTTTTAAATTAAACCTTAGTCAGAAAATCTTCAAATGGAAAGTCATTTTTTATTGCGCTGGATGACTAGTAAACATCAGTTAGAAACAGTTTCTGATTGATACAGATACTCTAAACAGTTTAAAAAATGGATAACACTTTGAGGTTGCACAATTCATGGTTCCAAAAAACATTTTTTCACTCAGGATGAATTGCTATTCTTTCACCACTAACTTTGGTTTTACTACACTTAGCAAAGTTCTTAAAAAGCTTTCGGCAAAATTGTTAGGTTTGTTTTTGCCCCTTAGTCAGAATTTTGTTGAAACAATAAAAAGTCTTCAATTTTTTTCTGCTGAGGCAGTATATTCTTTTGATCATAAATTGTTCCAGCGGAACGCATATTTATAGAGATGCATTTCCTTTTTTCGCTTTTTGTTCAAGATTTGCTGTCAATTTTTAGTTCAGATAATTTGACGCTCATAAATGATTTTTTTTTTCATAGAAAGCTGTTTGTGTGTTCAAAACTTCACTCTTAGATTTATTTGATTTTTAACCAAAAACAAACACAGTTTTTGAAATAAGAGAACAGTTTGAGGAAACAGCGTAAATCATTTTGCTCTTTTTTGACATCAAATTTTGGAATTTCACTGACCACTGTAGTAAAGCTAGATAATTTCCGTCGCGTCAAACTTCAACTAATAAGAGCTTGAATTAGAAAAAAAGTGTAAGTCAGAACCTGCATCTATTCATTTGGGAAGAAGTAAAGTTGAGAGATCAACGGAAAGTGCTTCACATTCTGTTACTTAAATAACTGGTACTTTGATTATTACTGTATCTAAGTGAGTAGACACATACAATTTTTTATTCAAGTCTATCTTCTATTTACATCTAGAAGATCTAGTTGATCAAACTTATCAGCACAGTGGCAAACAAATTTTTCAAAAATAGTAAACAGACAAACTTTTTTTCGGGTCTAAAAATGCCAGTTTTCACCATCTGAACTAAATTCTTGAAAACGTGTCATATTGTAAAAAACAGCTGAGTTTAATGAAAACGCCACAGTGAAGAGTCCATTAAACAAATAGAGATTTAAAAAATAAATCTGCACTCATGTTCAGGGGCGGATCTAGGATTTTCTCGAGGGGGGGGCTGATTTTCAAAAAATTTTCCAAAATTTTGACGACCTTTTTTTTTTTAGGTCGACCAAATTGATTTTTCGAGCTCTCCCAAAGCACTGTTTTGCCCCTAATTTGGCTAAATTTTCTGCGCCGCAGGCAAATTTTTGAAAAAACAGTCGAAAAAGCCGTTTTTGGGCAATTTTTGAAAAATTTTGACAAAAAAATCGCGTTTTTTTTGGCGCGCGCTCCCCCTCAAAGTTAGTATATATTGGCGCCGAAGGCGCATTTAGAAAAATTTTAGGGTCGGTCAAAAATGGATTTCTAAAAAAGTATCAAAGGAGGGACCCCCCCCCCCCCCCCCTAAATCCGCCCCTGCTCATGTTATATATAAGTTTGGTTAATGCCTTCCTACAAATACCTGAAATAGTCATTGTTTATTTGTTTTTTTTTATTTTTTTAACTCGGCGCAAAATTATTTGTTAGTGTAGGGTCTTAATAAGGTTTTGAGGGAGAGGAGAAAATGTTTGATTTCAATGTCGAAGAAAAATGGTCAAAAAATTTTGAGGATCCACCCTTCAAAAACATCTACACCCGTCCATGGTACAATACTAAAAATAATAAATTAAAAATTTTTACATAAATTTCACCTAAGCAGTTCCGTATTAGCTAAACAGTTCCTCTTAGACGAATTTTTTTGGAGGGCATTGACGAAAAATTTGGGTGTTTTAGCGCACAATTTCTACTCATTATTAATTTTATAAGAGTTTCAGTTTTTCACTCTCACATTTTACTACTGAGTTTTTTAGTCTTTTTGATTTCTATTTCATATTTTATTTTTCTTTATTTGTAGAATTTTCTCGAGGGTTTTGGATTTTGGATTTTCAAAAACCTTTTTTTTAGATTTTTCATTGGTTTTTTTGGCTGATTAACGGAAATCTATGAAAACACCATAAAGACCTGTGAGCATCGCAAGCAAATTCTGATAAAAAAACAAGCCATATAGTGGCGCCGAAATTGCCTTTAGAAAAATTTTAGGGGACCATTTGGGCGGCAGGGGGTCAAATCCCTGAGGGGGGGGGGGGTCGTCCGCCTCCCGCCCTAAATCCGCCCCTGAGTCAGAGCATCCATTGTCGCACCCTGAATTATTGCATATTTTTCAGTTGCATTATTGCATTAATTTTGCTGCATTCTGATTGGTCTAAAATTTGATTTACTCCATCTATCTCCAAGCTTTTCTTACAGGGCGTGGGGGTTGTTAAGGTTCTGAAAAAGTATCAATTTTAATGAAATCCGCCTTCACTGCCCCTCCTTAAAGCCCTAGACCAGCACCTGAAATATGACAACAACAATACCGCTTTCGCAGTGAGGCGCGTGATTTGTATCTTCGAAAGTCCACGATCCACTTGCTCCATTGCACGTTGCCCATGACGATCCGAACTTCTTCAAGGGGACGCGACTGCCCGCCTTGGAGGGGGAAATACAGTCGAATTGAACTCGGGTTCCGTTCGGATAGGGGGAAAATAACTGTGGGGATATGGACACGTAGCGACGCACAGAGGGTCTATTGCAACTCATGACTAAAATGAAGTGACTTGCTAAAGTTTCGCGCTGCTGAATTCAGGGATCCTGAGTTCGGTTCCCAATCGGCTCCCGGTTTTTGAGGTTTTTCCAATTGTTTTTAGATTTATTGATTAAAAAATTGACTTTGGCTACTAACACGCAGTCTCGATTATTTTGTGGCAGTGCGATCTGTAAAGAATCTACTATAAGTTTTTTTCATGCCGTAGAAACTTTTTTCAAGCATTCTCTGGATAAACTGAGAAATCGTAATTTCAAAATAAACACAATGATATTGCAATAAAGGTTAACCCAGAAGCTACAATTTCTACAATACCTTATATTCTTTAGGTTAGCAGGTTTGTATATTTCGAAGAGCAATTTGAACTATATATTTGACCAGCATGAATTTGAAGTACAAACTATAGTTGGTACTTGAAGTCTGATAAAATATAGCCTGGTTTTATCATTTCAAATCACAGACAGTAGCCATTAAAACAGTTTTGGGTAATTTGGCTGAGGAAGCTATGAAAATGGTATCAAATGAAGTTGAGATATGGTAATAATATTTCACTTATCATCATAACTGTCAGGTTAAGTAACTAAAGTGCCGTTAGCATAGCTATGTCTGAATAAACCACTCAACTCAAATATGGCCTTTCGAGTGAAGCATGTCTATTTTGGGTTCTCTGCGAACCATTCCAAAGGCTATAGTGTTCAATTGGTGTCTCAGTTTGTAAAGGCTATAAATATGAGATACACAATTAAAGATGTAATTTTTGGGCTAGCCACTTATAAACTTCAAATATATTGAAGTTCAGATTTTGCATATTTCTGTTACGCACAAGGAGAAAGATAACAAATATGCAGATATACATTAAAGCTAAATCAAATTTGATTTGGCCTGTATTTGATGGTAAGAAAATCTACAGCATTGTCACGGGGCTCTTTCGTGGCCAACTGTGCGAAGGTTACTTTGGGGTCAGAAATGAATCGCAGGTAAATAAACGCTTCTATGTTTTAAGACTTTGAACCCGGGCAGTGCTGCAACATTATGGTCAAAAATCGGGTGATGGAATAAGCACAGCTTTAAAATCGGATTGTCTGCTAATTTCTGAAGGAAATTCCTCACATCATAAACGTCATGATCTGCTTTGATTTAATAAATAGAACAGGATGAATTTCAACATTTCCTTTTAAAAAACTACAGCATTAAAAAAACTCATTCGCCAAAAACAGTTTATGTAACATCGAAAAGTTCGTCAACATAAATTTCAGACCAAATTATCATCCTCCCCGCACCTAAAATCAAAATTGTAATTTTCAGTCAATCAGAATTGACCCTTTTGCTTGGCATGCTCGTAGAATAAATCAGATATATAATTTTTAGGGGCTTTAAACTGTTTTTGACTTTTTTAATTGTCAGCCATTTTGAATTTTTTGAGCTCGGTTGAACCCCAGAATTAACATAAACGGCGTTACATTTTTTTAAACAAAGAATGTCTTTTGAGAGCTTCCTTGAAAGGTTTTTTTTCTTCCAAAAACGCGTCTTTTCGGTGCGCAGTCTTGCTCAAAGCCGTAGACCTTTGGCACTATTTTGCGTTCAGAAAAATTTGACAATCAGAAATGAAAGGGTATGCTACCCCGACCCCTTATCATCTATCTGAACTTGACAGTCAGTCCCACAGCTTAAAACGAGTCAAATTGGGTTATTGCACTCAAGCTTGCAGCCTGGAAAAAAAAAGACCTGATAGGCTTAGAAAAGTCATAGAACATACATATAAAAGACATTAAGAAGACAGCAGTTGGGTTATAAATCCAAGACCACTCTCAGTAAATCAATTACAAATTGACCTAACCGTTTAATTCAAAAAAAATTAAATGGAGATTAGAAAAAGTGGAATCGTATTTTCAGAGAAATCAAAAATAAATTAAACAGCAAATGGTCAAAAATGGGGCCGGATTTGCTTGAACGTTTTTACCCACAATAACATAAGTAATTTTGCGTAAAAATTTTTCACAGTGGGTCAATTGTATTTTGGGCGCTAAAAATTTTGTATTTTACCCAATGAATCTGAAGATCTGCTTACAATATCCCTATCTTGAAACAGTCTTAGAGCCTATCTTGACAAGAAGTTGTAAGACTCTTGTAAGAAAATTTCTAAAATAGCTACTTTTGTTCAACCCGGATGGCTTCCGCTTCGGTCAATTAAACTAAAGTAAAGTTATCTTTACGCATCAAAAACGCTCTCAACTCAGCTTTATCGTCCGAAAATAGGGTAAAAGCCATAGTAGCGTCTTAAGTAATCGACATAACATTGCTTTTATTCGAGCTTCGAGACCATATGACTGGATTTATATTGTTTTTAACAAGAAATGATTTTTTTTTTCAGTTTTCTTTCAAAAAGTCAAAGTAATGTAAGACTTGATATACTTTGAGCAACAAAATTGTTTTTAAAGTAGTGTTTTAAATATTAAAAGATAAAACTATTCGGAAATCTAGCTGAAACTTAGCTAAAACTTCTGACTATTCGACAAAATTTTTTGAGAAACGTTAATTGCAAATCATGAAAGTTAGACTCCGTGTATGCCGTCAAGTCAAGCAAAAATTTTCCACTTAACAAAATTTATGCGTATACTTTGACTGTTTTTCTATCAAAGTAGCGAAAGACTTAGTAATAATAATAACTCAAACGAGCAATTATAGCAAGAAACTTATTTAAAAATTGCCATGAATAGGTTCTACCCCGGATCTCTTTCCATATTTTGATCAATTTCATCTAAAAGAGGTAAACGAAGAGCGCAATATCTGATTCTATTTTCAAAAATTGCTTTAAATTATGACAAATTTCCAATCACTTGCTTAATTGAAATGAAGTAGCATTTTACCAAAAAATTTTAGCACTATTATCATCCTATTTCAAATCATGAGACGATCTTGGAAAAAATTATGAAAAAAAGCTGTTTTACTTTGAATGTGTTTTATTCAAAACTGTTGTTCGGAACATTTTTTTCAATTTTTATTCTACGAGCAAGTACTGAATGGATGGATCTCCAGATAATTTTAATAAAAAAAATTTGTAGTGTATATGATCAGTCATTTGGCATTTTTGTAACCGTTCAAAATGATTTAAAATGAAATAAAATTCTATGGGAGGTGATTTTTGTGAAGTTCTTACAAAAAAGGCTATTCAATCCAGTAGCGGATTTAGGAAGGGGGCGGGGGCGCTCTTTTTCTCTCGGGGATTCGACCCCCTGCCGATTCAAAGGGACCTCCCACTATTTTCTGGAGAAAATGGAATTAATTAAGTTAAAACACGAAAATTTTATTTTCGTCTCAAGAAACGGACCCCCTTTGCACTATTTTGAGATATCCACTCCTGGATGACTGACTTTCAAATTTTTCTAAAGGTGCCTTTGGCGCCAATATATACTAACTTTGAGGAGGAGGGCACGCCGAAAGAGCGCAATTTTTTGTTCGAAATTTTCCAAAAAGTGCACAAAAATGCTGATTTGGAGGAATCTCTATTTCTTGACTTAAAATCATAAGTTGTGGGGTTAGCAACCGTCCATTACTGCCTCTCTCATAATTAAAATTAGTTTTGCAAATTGTTGATAGCACGATGCTGTTTCTGTCCAAATTACAAGTTTTTGTACTCTGTTGGTTTTTGCTATTGATTTGGTGATACTTCAAGTGGGAGATGACTTTCAGAAGTCTTACTAACTCAGATGGTTCTAACGGTTTAGGACTGGCATAGATTTGAAGAAAAGAGATGGCACTTCAAATAGCGTAATACGGTGCAATTTTTTATTCTCAGAAAAATAGCTAGGATCAATGCGAACGTGGGAAGAGCAGACAGTCACGTCGGAATGAATTATTTCGCGATACTTGATTCAAAAATTGTTGCATAATCTGTTAATGACTTCCTCTTTTCTTGGTAGAAAAACGGATCTGTCAAAAATCTCATCGGTATTGACTATGACGAAGTTTTCAGTCAAAACCGCTGTGAGCATTCTACCCAGAGCAATGGCGACTAGAACCACTCTGCGTTTAATTGAGCCTATGCATAAATCGTCTTTTTGGCAGCTCAATGATTCTTGAAGTTAAAACACACCCACCTTTTCAATTATTATTTTTAAAAACCTCGACCCAAAATTTGCATTTCAAGAAGTTAAAAAGTGAATCAAAAACTTTAATTATTCATTCAAAGAAATATTTTTTGAAAATTTTCTACTTATTCCAAGAAATATTTCTCGAAAACAATTTTGCAACTTATCAGAAAATGATTTTTCGATTCATTCAAAGAAATGTTTCTCGAAAACAATTTTGCAACTCATCAGAAAAACTGAAACTGCTTCTCAAAAGTGTTAGAAAAAAGAACCAGATTGTTTGACAGATAGCGAAAATGTGATCAAATAATAGTCAAGCTTCGAAAGGAAAGAGTTCGTTTTAATGAAAAAGCAATAAAATTTATTTATATACTTTGCAGTTTTCCAATGATCCATCAAAATTTACAAAAAAAACAGGGCAATAAAATAGGGCATACAATAGGTCTTACAATAATAGGGCTCCATTGTGATAGAAAGAAAGCCTGCTGTCTTCATTTTGAGATTGATAACAACGCCTTTTATTTTCTCAAATGTAACAAAATCTCTCAATCTGCTGATTTAATAATAATAGTTGTTTCAGAATGGCAAGAAATGAAGATTAGGAGATTGACTGATGAGTATTTAGTGAAAGTCCAGCTAAATGTCTATTGAATAACAACCTGAGAGAGAAAAAACGGACAAAGAGTCGACTCTGAATGTGGGTTCCCGCATCCAATTTCGAGTGTTAATAATCGATTTTAATATGATTTTAGTACCAATCTTACAAAAATTGAGAAAAAAGGATTTTAATCAATTAATAATTGATTATAATCTCACTAGTATATTATTATCGATTATAATGATTATTTTTATCCGAATTTCTAATTCATTTGTTTTGCAGAAAAATCGATTCAAATCGAATACAATTGTTTATAATCCCTTTTGTTTGTCCCTTTTGTCTTCGACCTTGCATCTGAACTGCTTATATTTTATGCTTTTCGTAGACGTTGGCTTATGTGAAAAATGGGAAAATTGTTTTAACAGTTTTCAAATCAATTTAAATTTATAACGGTTTCATGATGCACACTTTAAGTTTTTCTTACCATGAAATCATCAGCACACTGCTTTAGTTTCATGATTTATATATAAGAGTGATATTTCACCTACCACGAGATTCTTTCCGGTAATATGAAGGAACCTCTATGAAACTTTTGTTTCGCGGTAAAACTTTGAAAATTTGTGTTCAGATGAACCAAAGAGTGACAAGACATCTCACTGTAAGAGATTTTTGACAAAAAGAAGTATAATCTATTATAATAGATTATAAAAGATTATAAGAGAATATAAGATATTATAAGACAATATAAGAGATTTTTGGAAAAATTATAATCAATTAAACATCTAAATTTGACGCTTATAATTAAATGTAATTTTGATAAATTACAATTGTAATTACTGAGTGCGGGTTAGTCTATTGATAGTGTATGTTTCATTCGCCGCTCAGAATCCTAATCTCTAGTAATTTGCTATGTCAACAGTTTTATGGCAGTTGACAAAATGCTGGCCTACGATTGGTTCATTGCCAAAACTGGGTTAAAAACATAAACATCTCCAAGGTTTTTTGCCTTGCGGTTGAAAATCATTCAAATTCACGAAATTGCTTTCCTTTCTTTTTCTCTACGATAGATCTGTTGAAGCTTCTATGTTTTTCTATTTCACAAATCCTGGTTCTATGAAAAAAAAACTTAAATTAGAAAATTGTCCAAACGCATAATTTTTTGTGCAAAAGCACTTCCCCCAGCTTCGGTGTATTTTCTGACAAAATCATATGATAATAAAGGGGTTAAATTTTCAATTACACTTTGCTTAGAGCAGAATGGTCAAATGGAAACAAAAACAGTTAAAATTTCGAGAGCAAGTTAATTCTAAAAAAACAAGACTGCTCGTATCACGTATCAGGGCGAAGCCCTGAATGTTACGACTGCTTTTTAAACTTTGTGGAGCAGTAATTACATGAAAAAATTAAATGCAACAAAATCA